TGGCGTTGAGGAAACATGAAACATGAAACATACGTTGCTTCTTCCAGGTGTTTCCCCATCTGGTTAATGGTAAGGGGGCAAATGGGGAAACTAAAAGGAAGAAGTTTCCGGCTCGTTCAGCGAGGACAGAGCTTTCGAATTGCGAAACTGGAATATATCTATTAACCTCGAGTGCGGGCGTGTTGAGCAGGGTGTGGGTGGACTGGGTCACATCGGCTGCGTGCAGGCTGTTGTGGAAGGGATTGTCCTTGACGTAGTTGTCCTCCAGGGTCATCATGAAGGTGACGAAGGTCTTGGGCGGTATGGCCAGCGATTTGAGCAGGTCACGCGTCTGGAAGGCTGTGTACGCGACGCAGGTCAGCGGCCTGTTGTTGCTCAGCTCGCCTATCCTGAAGATGTCGATGCCCCACTTGTCGATATCTGACAGAAGCTGTAACAATTGCGCGTGGAAATTAGCTCCAACAATTGAAAGATAAAGCTTCCTTCATATCTTTCGCGACTAACTGTTTAGGCCACCTTTCTTTGTTAGGTTTTTAGAATTTAGGGTATATTAAAAATGGTACTTCAGTGTTTCTGGATTGGAAAATTCTTAATTTAACTTTTGATTGACGTATCTACTCTAACTTCACAATTCTTTTCTCCAGCTGTTGCAAAAACAGTTCACTTTCTCGCGAAACGTAGATTCGAAGGTTTCCATCCGTCATCCGGCTCGAGCAATTAATTTCTCAGACAGTTTCTTGCAGGCCGAATTTATAGAATCGACCCTTCAGACAGTTACTTGGCACTGACGCGAGATTTCAGAAGGTTGCTTTTTAAACGGAAAGTTTCTAATTAACGTGTTGATCAACGTAACCGACGCCAGGCCTTGAAAAAGCACAGAATTTGGCAAAATCAAGAGGTTAGGATTAATTTAAACGTTCCTAGCTAAAACAAACTTGCCCCCAAAGCAAACAAACTGCGGCCGGTCTCGCGAGCCAAATAAGGAATTCGAAGCCATTCCGCGACTCTGAATCGGAACGCGTGGGCTTAAGCCTCGCTGATTTCGGAAAACAAACTTTTCAAATTGTTCATTCTTATCTTCTTGATTGCGCGATCTCGTAAATATTTTTCATTTTTTTGTCATTCCGTCAATTTACCGTCAAAATAAAGCAAATTTGGCAAATTCCTTAAAGTATCGATCTAAATATCTACCGTGTTTAAACAAAGGCTTTAACTAAATAGATTATTCGACATTTCTCTCTCTCTCTCGAAAAAAAGATGAGAACCCGACGTTTCCATTAATCATTTCCATTTCCATTCAAATCGCGAAGCCTCGAAAGACGCGCATCAGCGGAAGCCAAGCAGGTTCTACGAGCCAGGAAGCGTCTGATTAGCATACAAAGCGGTGGCTTGATTATGTGAAAGTTGTAGCCACTCTCTTTGCCATGAAAGAGGATTTGCATCGATTATGCAAAACGAAATTGAGCACCTACCTCTCGGCCCCCGCTCTTTCCGCTAATTCTCTTTTAAAATTTCGTCGCCTCGCGTTGTTGCAAGACCACGAATTCCGGGAAACTGCAGAAACTGGCTTTATTCAACGAACGGGAAAGATTTACTTTCGTCGGGATGAGATCGAAACGCGTCAATTTATAATTGTATCGAGAGAATTCGAAATAGAAACGCTGAGATAATAGAATCGTGAGATATCGACATTTCGGACACTTCGGGATTATTTCAGACGAAAGTGAGCTCCATCGCTTTGGAAATAAGCTCGGGTCTGCGCAAATAATCGAGGACTGGGAAAACGAGGTTAGTCGGGGGCTCGCAACGAAGAGCGAATGAATAATTCGCGAGAAATCGAGACTAGATGCAAAACGCTTTCGTTCACGTTGGAAAATTTTCGATCGACGAGAGACGATGGAAATTTGGCAAATTTTTAATTTAAACTTCTCGCTAATTGTGACACAACGGTAACTTCAATCGCGAGGGTGAGCTTCTGAAAATTGAGAACAATTAATTGGCAAATGGAAGAATTCTTAAATAAACATATAAACAGATCATTAACTAGAGTAACTGTGACAGAATGACAGAAATCGATCGGTCGTTAGAAAACATTAGTTAGATAGTTTGCATTTATTTAATATTATAATTAACTAATGAATCGAGCAATTCTTAAATAAATAAATAAATTGTACCGGAGTAATTGTAATAGAATAACAGAAAGCGACCGATCGTTAGAGAAAATTGCAGCGATCAAAGAATGCA